GCTGCGGGCATCGCTGCGCCCGTGCCGCTGGGACCCGTCAGTAGGCCGGAGCTTCCGCTCTTCTCGGATCGTAGGTTTAGAGAAGGAGACGTTACGTGGCAGGAGTCCTCTGAATTACCTCTGCTGTGAAGAAGGGCTGAGGGAGCTGGGCTTGTTCAGCCTGGAGAAAACACCGGGACGCCTCCTGGCGGCCTGGAGTAATTGAGGGGCTCTTAAAAGCGGGAGGGAGATGACTTTACAGGGGCAAATAGTGACAAGATGAGGGGTTTTAAACCAAAGGAGGGGAGGTTCAGATTGGACTTTGGAAATTAATTACTCGAAGAGTGGTGAGGTACTGGCACAGGCTGCCCAGAGAGCTGTGGGTGCTCTATCCACAAAAGCTAGGCTGGATGGGGCCCTAAGCAGCCCTGGCGAGCAGCAGCTCTGCCCACAGCTGGGGGTAGGCATGGATGAGATTTAAGGTCCCTTCCAACCCAACCATTCTGTGAAAATCTCCTGAGACCAGAGCTCTATGAAAATCGGAAAGTCAGGTTTGTTTCCATTAGCACTGCTAAGAGAAAATTTCAGAGCCACATGGATTAGTTTCCTATTCATATGCACATCCGTGAGCTAAAGTAAAATTGTTTTATAACAAAATCATAGCATGCTTTGGGTTGGAAGGGATCTTTAATATCGTCTAGTTCTAGCTGCTCCCACTAGAGCAGCTTGCTCAGAGCCCCGTTGAGTCTGGCCTTGAACATCTGCCAGGAGGGAGCATCCACAACTTCACTGGGCAAGCTGTTCCAGTGTCTCACCACCCTGACAGTAAAGAATTTCTTCCTAATATGTAGTTTGAATGTACACTCTTCCAGTTAAAAGCCATTTCCCTTTGTCCTGTCAATACATGCCCTTATAAAAAGTCCCTCCCCAGCTTTCCTGTAGCCCCCCCTTCAGGTACTGAAAGGCCACTCTAGAGAATGCTGGTAAGACCTTCAGAGCCTTCTCCAGGCTGAAAAGCCCCAGCTCTCTCAGCCTGTCCCCATAGGGAAGTGCTTCAGCCCTACGATCACCTTCACGGACCTCCTCTGGACCCACTCCGACAGCTTGATATCCTTCCACTTGTAGAAAATGAGTAGAAGTACCATTTTCTTAGGCATGGACCCAAATTCTATGCCAGACTTTCTTCCTTGCAGAACGTGTGAAAGCAGCTTTCATTTTTGTCACTATTCTTGGATCTCACAGTTTTAAAACAAGCCCTCCTACCTGGTAAGTTCTTGGAAGGAAAGCTATTTGCCTTGTACGTTGTGGCTGTAACGAACAGCAGTAGTAACCTTTTGCATACAGTTATACTACAAAGGAACCTCTTGAACAAATACGTGAGTTTTATGGGCAGTGTTTTGCCCATAAAATCCAGTTAGTGTTTGTTGCATTTAGATAGCAGCACCTTGCAATGTCCATAACAGTAGAAGTCTTAACGCTGCTGTGTTAAATTCAGAGTTCTCTGTTCCTGTTTTTACTGTATCTTAATCAGCTGCAACCTATTTTAAACCTCAGAGCTCAATCCTAGCACACATTATTTTTCCACTATTTGGCAGCAAAAAAAAACTAAAATGGAAATATGTGCTGGCAGAGACTTTACTGTCACAGTAGTAAAGCAGACAAAGCAGAGCTAACTAAAATGGTTTCGGTGCTGATAGCAGTGTGGTAACAGTAGCAAGGAGTTTAGAAGTCATCCCAGCAACTGATGGACATTCAAGCAACTTGTTCGCACTGAACTTCTGTTGCTACAGATTTGTTGTTAGTGGTACTCAGCCTTATCTGAGTATGTCTACAGAAGACAGCAGTTATGTCTTTGCTTTGTCCCTGGTAGGGTTTGATGTTTTGAATTAAATGACAGTTATATCCTGTGGCAGATTTACATGATTACTCAGGGTCACATCTAGTTATGTTCCACAGATTGTGAGGCAATAGACCTGGAGTGAAAAGGTAAGGGGTTGCATCATAAAATGAAAAAAGAAAGAGTTAAATCAATGAAAATGGAAAGGAATTTGAAACAGGAGGGAGAATGGCTGATAAGTGGTTTCTGTCTTCTAAGAGTCAGTAGAAAACAGGCAGAAAGCAGAATGGCAGAAGTGAGAAAGAGATAAAAAGGGCAATGCCTGAAATATCAGAAGGCAAATGAGAGCTAGGAGAAAATAGGAACAGAGGTAAAGACAGGCTAAATCCTGTGCTCAACTGGCTGAGAGTATATAGTCTGGATTTTGTACCACTTGTGACTGTATTGGCCAGTGAGGAGAGTGCTGGAATAATCTTTCTATATATTTTGTAGAAGTCCCTGTAGCATTGAGTTGTATTCATAGTAATCACTTAGCAAGTAGGCCCTTTTACCTTTAATGATAGAGGATCTTTTTAAACACGGGCTTCTGTCTTCAGGCTCCACACTGACACACTCTGTGATAAAGTCCCATGCAAAGTTCAGTTAAAACTGATGAGAGGGGATTTCACAAAATACAACAGGGATGATGTCATCTTTCACGTTCTGCCTGAGCCACTCCTTAGTCCTGGTTGCCATAGATTGATCTGGGTTACAGCTTCCTTTCAAACATGAGGAGAGCAAGGACCCAAACGTTGACAGTTCTCTACGATGCATTCAGCCATGGAATGATTGCAGAGACCTTGGCAGATAACAGAAAGGGAATTCTGAAATACAGTTACCAAGGGTTGATGAGAATAAATTCTGATTCTGCAATTGTCCCAGGCTCATACTGTTTTCATGTAAAACTAGGAAAGAGAAAGACAAAGCACGAGAGCTTCCATGCCATTTCATTGAATTCTGTATCAGACGTGTATCCCAGCAGTATGCTGGGAAGGGGGGGAGGGTATGAGAACCTGAAAACGTCCATCATTTTTTGAGTCAAAATGGATAGTAGCTCTAAGATACTTCTGTATGTATCCAGACTTAAACTGATGTTGCTGAGAATTTGCCCCCATCAAATCTTGCCCTAACAGTGCCATCCAGCTGCATGGTGCTCAAGAATACTCTTTGGTTGCTTTTGTGTCAATCGGCCTTTGAGTGTTTGCCACCACTTGGTGGCTATTGCAAATAATTCCCAACGTTGCTTCCCTACTGTTCCTCACTGAATCTGCCAGTGCCCCTGAGTCTGCCATGCTCAGGTGGTCCGGGACTCCTGGGGTGAGTTAAAAAGAGTGTAGCCAGCAGGTCAAGGGAGATGATCCTTCCACCCTTCTCTGTCCTAGTGAGGCTACATCCAGAGTACTGTGTCCAGTTCTGGGCTCTTCAGTTCAAGAAAGACAGGTATATCCTAGAGTGGAAGGCCACAAAGACATTGAACAGTCTGGAGCATCTTTCATACAAGGAAAGGCTGAGAGACCTGGGACTCTTCAGCCTGGAGAAGGCTGAGAGGGGATCTTATCACTGTTTATAAATATCTAAAATGTAGGAATCAAAGGGGTGAGGCCAGGCTCTTTCCAGTGGTGCCCAGCAGCAGGGCAAGGGGCAATGGGCAAAAACTGCAACACAGCAAAAACTGCAACATACAAACACGAAGAAGAACTTTACTTTGAAGATTGGCATTTACTTTGAAGCATTGGCACAAAGCTGCCCAGAGGAGTTGTAGTGTCCCCATCTTTGGAGATATTCAAGACCCATCTGGATGCTTTCCTGTGCAACCTACTGTAGGGAACCTGCTTTAGCAGGGGTTTGACTTGGTGATTCCCAGAGGTCCCTTCCAACTCCTATCATTTTATGATTTCTCTACCAGGCACAGCTCCACATCATCTCCTGGCTGGGCACAGGCAGCAGGGCTTCTCAGCTATTGGTGTTCAGCCATGGGATAAATAGATTTTGCAGTAATGAAGCAGTGAAGGTTTTTTTGGTGGTTTTTTTTTTTTTGGCAACGCATGACGCTAAACATCGAGCTGACTGGATTTGTGATTACTTGTGATCCTACAGCAACAAAAATGTGCATGGCATGGCAAAAAGCAAACAGACAGAAAGTCTCCCCTGGAGCCTCTTCCCTGAGCCAAGGTGAAGATGATGCGTGGGTTTTAAAAAAACAGGAATGAAGAAAAAATGGCAGTGATGCTGAACAAAACTCACCAGTTCTGAGCGACTGCGGTTCATTCTTTTCCTTTGTTCTTTATTTGAGGGACGTGGCTTAGTGGGCATGGACGATGGGTTGATGGTTGGACTAGATGACGTTAGCAGTCTTTTGCAACCTTAATGGTTCTATGATTCTATGCTTTGTGTGACAGCACTCAAGTGTTGATGTGAACTGGGCCTGGTTAGCGAGAAGCTAGCTTTCTTCCAAGGAGAGCCTTTTGGATTTGCAGCTGAAGATATGGGTGCACACCAGTATTTTGGCTGTGGCCAAGCACGGCTCACACAGCAGCAAAGCTTTCTCCTTTCCCACTCTGCCTGATGCTGGAGGTGGACGAGTGGCTGTAAGGGGAGGTCTGAGGACGAGGGGCTCTCCCGTCACACCCTGCTCACAGTTAACTGGGTTGCACACTGAACGGGGTTGCCCTTTGGCTTCCAACTTGCCTGTTGTTGTGAGACTGCCCGGGCACTGCTCTGCACATGTAAGATGCTGAGCGATTCCCTTCACTTCGCTTGTTGCTTTTTAAATATTTTTCTCTTTTTTCTTCACTCCAGCTGCGTCCCTCTCCCAACCCCCGCCTTCTCCCCTCTCTGCGCTCGCCACCTCCTCCCTCTGCCACCACCAAGATGGCGGCGAGGCGCTGCCGCCCCGCCCCGCGGGCGCTGCCCTCCCTGGGCCGGCCTCTCCCCCGGCCGCCGCGGTGGCTGCTGCCGCCGCCGCCTGTCGCCCTGTGATGAGAGCATCAGCCCTCACTGCCACGTCTCCCGGGCAGCTGCGCAGGGCCGCGCCGGGTTGCCGAGCCCGTGCCGCCCGCCTCCTTTTCCTCCCGTTCCCGGGGGGCTGCGGCCGCCCGCCCCCGCCCCGCCGCGGGGCTCCGGGCAGCGGCGGCCGCCAGGTGGGTTCGCCCGGCGGCAGGAGGAGCGATCCGCGGGGAGCTCGCTCCGCCGCCCCGTCCCACCCGGCGGCCCGGGGCAGCGCTGCCCTCGGGGAGGGAGCCCGCTGCCGGCCGATGTCCGAGCGGCGCGTGGATGTGTGAGTACCGCCCCGGCCGTGCCGTGCCGTGAAGGTGCCCGGCTCCCTCCCTCAGCGGGGCTCCGGGCGGCTGTCGGTGTTCCGAGCCGTTCCTCTGAAAACGTGAGGTACCGCGTCCCGAGCTTCGCGTTTTAGCTTCGTGCCCGAGCCGCGCGTTCGGGCTCAGACAACGTGTCTGGGCTTGTCGGGGGAGCCGGGCGCTCGGAGGCCGACGGACGGGGATCCGACGCGTGGAAGCGTGCGTGGGGCGGCCGCGGTGGGGGAGGCCTGCTCTTCGGCTCTGGGCCGAAGGGACGGGTCTCGCGTTCCCGAGGGGCCCGGGGACGCGGCGGCGGGGCCCTGAGTCCCGGGGCTGGCTCTGCGCACCGCGGAGGGAACGCGGCAGCCTCCATGATGCAGCACGGGGTTAGGCCTCGCCGCAGGGGCAGCTCTCTCTCTGTGCCGGGGTCGCTTTGCTGCGTGAATGCTAGCTGGCACACAGGCAGCTTTGTTTGCAGAGTTTGGTCATCGTTGTGCATGCTTTTCGAGGGGAATAACAGGTCCCCGGTGTCTGTAATGGCTGTAAGGGAAGGAAGATGATGTCTGTACTCACAGTGGTGAGTTGTACGGCGTTTAGAGGTGAGGCATCCGCTCTGTAGTCAGCTCAGGGTCTGTTAACTGCCTGAGGTCAGAAAAGATTGGGTGACCAGCCGTGGGCCGGCATGGGAGCAAAAGGGCTCAGCTGTTTCACAGGGTGCTGAGAGCAGAGCGGGACACCAGCCTTCAAACCCACCCTGTACCTTTACTCACCTCCTGACACTGCTGGTGCTGGCCTGTTTTGTTTCTGACACTTATTTCTCCTCCTAGGAGTGCAAGCTCATCCAGCTGGGCACTTGGCTTCCTCAAGGGTGCTCTGCTGGTAAAACCCAGCCAATGCCAGAGTAGCTGCTGGGCAGTGCCAGCCCCTTTGGGAGCTGTGCTGAAGCCTCCCCATACCCTTTCTCAGACAGGAACTTCTTCAGGCGAAGACGCAGCCACTCTTTGTTTCTGTTCTCAGCTGTCTGACTGCTGTCTCTCAGCACAAATCAGCACACAGTGTGGGAATGCCATCCAGATTGTATTCGTTTGGAGGGTTCGCGTGGTATCTTGGCCAGTTAGCTGTTACATTGTGATGCTCTGTCCTAATTTTAAGGTCAGAGTGGTGCCTGTGTACCTCCCCCTGTGCATGGGCTCACTCCTGGCTGTCTCTTGGCAGACCTGCCAATCTGCAGGCACTCACACCCTGGTTTTTGGAAGGCCTTTTTTAACACTCCCGTTAATAAAGGCTTCCATGCTATCTCAGCCCGAGCCACCCAAATAATTGATGATGCTAAAAAGGGTAGCATTTTCCATTTTTTACCTTCCATTTTTTTACTTTGCATGTCAGTCTTTCTGACTGTACGATGGATGGTTCAGCTTCCTTCTTTGTTAGGCAGTGTTTCAATTCTGCTTGTAAGAAAACAAATAATTTTCAGAACTTGTTGAGAAGTACAGTTTAGCACCTTTCTGAATAAAAGAATACTTTTTACAGGGGCAGTAATGGCATCCTGTGGTAGGCAAGGAAATAAAGCTATTTTCATCATGGTGACCTGTCTATATTAGCAATATTGTGCGTCACTAATATGGTTATACTTGTATGTATTATTCAGTACCAGACAGGCCTAATCACTTTCTTTTTGTCTGTGCTTGCTTCAGCCACTGCCTTTTGGTTTGAAATTTACAGAGATGGAATTAAATTATATACGTAGTATTTGAGGCGAGGAAAAACATTCAGCTGTGTTTGGTATCAGGCAGTACCGAACGCAAGTCTTTCTTCGAAAATGTCTGCACTGCAAATTTTGGATGTCATAAAAGTAACATTTTTCTTTCATAGGCATCGAATCTGGATGTTTGAAAATACAGCAAGAGCATATGTGTTAGAAATGGTTGTTAAGGTGCTTTCCAGTTTCTGTGAGCGTTCAGTTCAGAAGCCAGTCAGGCAGTCCATGCAGCTGTGGGGTTGCAGCTCCTAAAGGTGGGTGTGTAAGGCAGAGCAGCAGAACAGTGCTGATTCTGAGACCATACAACTCCTCAGTCTCAGAGCTTTCTCTGTGCCCTGTGTAATGAAATCATGGAGAAAGGTTTTTGTTCTTTTGGTTGTTTTTTTTTTTTTTGTTAGTTTACTTGCTTTTTGTTTCTTTTCTCATCCTGGCAGTTACATGACAAGTGGATCAGTTTTGTTTTAGTGTATGAATACAAAAGTTAGAGTTGAAGGGGCTGCATTCATACTCTGGATCCAAACAAGGTGTTTTGTCAATGCAAAGAGGTGCTTGAGCATCTCTGTTTAGAAAGTTAGTTGAATTTGTTTACTAATAGAACATCCAGGTTTAGAAATACTACTGATTTTTCAACCATTGTTATGTTTGTTCATTACAAAATTGTGGATCCTGACATATAGATGGGCAGAGAAACGCAGAGGAGAGTTGAGTTTGGTTTGCAGAATCTACTAAAGTGCTTTGGGGTCTTTGTGCTTTGTCTTCAGCTGTCATAATTAACTCTGCAGTATGGTATTGTGCCACCTAACACACATTTTCCTTCTGAGGCCAGATTCAGGGCCAGGCTGGATGTGGCTCTGGGCAGCCTGGTCTGGTGACCCTGCACATAGTGTGGGGGGTTGAAACTAGATGATCATTGTGGTCCTTTTCAACCCAGGCCTTTCTATGATTCTGTGATTCAGTTCTATACTACTTGTTCTTCTTGCGTTGCCATTCAGCTGGAGACCTGGTACAGTTCAGCATCAGTGCTGCTCTGCTGGCTTAAACACAAGAAACTGTAAGTAAGATACGACTTTATGGCCATCAGCCTTCCTCTCCTTGCAGCAATCCTTTTTCTCTGCTGACACCGAGCCCCGCTCCCTGCCTGCAGAGTTTGGCCTACCACAACAAGAGATGATATCACAAAGTTAGCGCTCCCCTCTTCTTCGTTCACCTAACCACAGCAGGTCTCTTGTGATGGAAACTTCCATCACCATTTTTTTTTTGTTTTTTTAATCTAAACCACAATTAGATGAGCAGCAGATAGTTGATAGTTTTAAAATTAGTGATAGTTTTAAAATTAGAGGTAAACCTCTGTGTGACTTGGCTGAATCATTCGTGAGTTGTCACAAACTCTCCTGGAAGATTTCCTGCCATTCTTTGTGAAGTATATTCACTTAGAGTCACTTCCAACCTTTTTTGGACTCGGACGGAACGTGTTGCAAGCGGAAAACAAGGCTTCTAGTGGGAAGTGAGTATTGTGCAACCGAGTTAGAAAAGCTGGGCTGGCGACCACGATGCAGCAACATCCAGATGTGCTGGCTAGTCTGAAGTATTCGGTTGGAAGCAGCATCATCAGTAGACTTCTGTGGCCCAAAGTGCAGAGCATTCATGCAAATTCAGACTGCTAAACTGGTCTTGGTGTAATTAATCATACCAGGGATTATTGTCCTATTGCATTTCCTGCTCTGTATGTGCTCATATGAGGTTCTGAATGCTGCCTACCAGAGTAATAGAAATGGAATTGAGATCCTTACTGTTTGGTGGAGAAATTGCATGGCCAAGTGAAATGGATAAAATATTGCCTCTGCCTGTTATTTAAGATGGAAATAGAGGGTAGTTGATGTATTCTCATGTGTTCTGTGTTTTAATGCAGATTAAACACTCCTAATATTACAAATCATGAGTTATTTAGAATTCTACTTTTCCACAGTGTCAGGGATGTGCAGGCTTTCATTGCACTGATACTTTCTGATTCGAATTCCAGTCTGGGGACTTGGAGAAAGACTCAAGAGATGCAGGGAGAAGTCAGGCCCTCCATGGAATCTGCTGGATCTGTTTTGATCGGGTGTGGGGATATATATGTATACATGTACCTGTGTGTACACAGTACCAGTCAAAGTTACCTTCCATGCTCTGAAGACAAAAACGCAAAACAACTTTGCACAGTGCTTTTTGTACTCCACGTCTTCAAACTCACTGCTGCAGATAGCAGATGCCTGCCTTATTTTTAGCTGTGTGAGGACAAAATAGAAAAATCCTAGTGACTCCCCATGGTTTGTCATCGTGGCTGGTCTCCATTAAATTAAACATAGAGGTTGGCAGAGAAGCAAAACCAGCAGGAAAGCTGCTTCTGTTTGTTTTTAAAAAAAGCTCGTCTAAAGCACTAGAATAATACTATAAAAATATTCACTACTACATACAGAGAACCCCCAGGAGGAGAAATACTTTGTCCAGCTGTTTATCCTTTTTGAGATAAGGAAGTAGAGGCCTGAATCAGTAAAACCACTTCTCTGCAAGTCAGTGGAAGAAGAGAGACTGAAAAGCAAAGAGTTGCTGGCTTGCAGTCACGTATTTCTGCTGCTGGTCCACATGTATGTGTTGAGGAACGGAGAAGAAAGTGCATACTTGTTGGTGACTTGGTTGGCTGAGAATTAAAAGGTGAGTTCTTGAGGCAGAAGGAGTCCTTTTTTGTGTGTTAGCCAGTCTCAAAGCTGGCCATATGTGAACCTAGCTCCACATCAGTGACACACTAGAAGTGCCTAGATACCTGGTGAGTCCGCTGACCTCCTGGCAGTTGATTTATCTTATGGCAAAGAGTGAAGAAAAATGATTTCTAAAGTGAACTTTTGTTTCTGTCTTCAGTAGTCATGTGGAATTGGAAGTTTAAACTTGTGGAGTTACATATCCAAAGCCTATTTCGGATCTGAACTCTCGAGGGCTTTCATATGACGGTGCAAGTTGTCTTTAAGAAACATATGTCAAGCTTAAATCTTGCCAGCTCTTCAGTGTGAATCTCTTGCACTGTACAAGATGGGAGTTCCTCTGCTTTTCCCATACGATTTAGAAGCATGGGAGCTGTAAGACCAAAATAACAATGATCCAACTAGTCAGGACTGTGTTTCCTGCTGATGCTGGAAAATATCAACTTTGCTATTCTGTCCTGTTTTCATACAAGAACAAGCAAAT